TTCTCCAGGAACCTCACGCCAAGTCATGGAAGATCAGGATCTAACTGTTAAAAGAATTCAAAACAGCTGATACAGAGAAATGCGAGGAGCCAAAAGAAAACTCAAAAAGGCGATTCAGTGAACTGAAGAATAAAATTAATGAATGGGAGGGGCGGTGCACTGAAGAGACTGATATTCTAAACAAGAACTACACAGAACTTGTGGAAAGAAAGACTCCAATGAATGAGATGAGGAATGCACTAGAAAGTATCCATAATAATGCTGATCACCTGGAAGAGAATCAGTGATCGGGAAGGTGGGGATCTAGAAATGACTTTGAAGAAGAGGAGAGAGAACTAAGATTTTTTAAAATTAAAGAAAACCTACGGGAGTTCTTAGACTCCATTACGTGAGCCAAAGTAAGAGTGAATGCTGGTTATACCACAAGGAGAAGCAGGAGGCAGAGGGGTGATTTAAGAAAACAATAGCTGAGAACTTCCCAGACCTGGGGGAAGACCTCGGCGTGCGAGTCCCTGAGACTGTTAGATCACTTCACCATCTCAGTGCCAAGAGATCTTCTCCAAGACATATGCTAATGGGACTGTCAAAAGTTAATGACAAAGAAAGAATCTTTAAGGCATTGGAAGAAAAAAAGAAAGTACTCTACAAAGGAATCCCCATTGGACAATAAGCAAATTTCTAAGCAGAAGCTCTGCAGGGGAGGAGAGAGTGGGATGACGTATTCAAAGTATTGGAAGACCAGCATTGCCAGCCAAGAACACTCTGCCTAGCAAAGTCACCCTTCAGAAAATACAGGAGAAGCAGAGGCTTTCCCAGACAAACAGAAGCTGAATGAGTTCACTAGATCCGCATTACAAGATATGTTACCAGGAGTTCTGCTCCTTGAAATAAAAAGACAAAACTACAAAAAAACTTTGAGTAAGGTGATGAGAAGACAGAACTAGAAAATTGTAACTGTACTTTAAAATAGGATGTTAAATCATCAAATATAGCATGAAGGTTAAAAATGCATTAAAACGTGGTAATGAACTTGCAGCAAAAAGGGATCATTGGTGACAACAACAGTATAAAAATGAGAAGGAAAATGATGGAACCTGAATATACAAGTGAAAATAAGTTGGTATCAACAGGAAAAAAAGGACTATTTTTATCTATGAAACATTTCATACAGATCTCATGGTAACCACAAAACAAAAATCTAGAATAAAGACGCAAAACATATAAAGAGGGGGGAAACTGGACCACATCATCATAGAAAATCACCAACTTCAAAAGGTAGAGAGAAACACAAGGAAAAATAGATGATGGAGATACAAAACACCCAGAACACGAGAGATAGTGGCCATCGCAAGTCCTCATATATCAATAATTACCCCGAGTGGAAATGGATTGAACACACCTATCAAAGGCCCAGAGGAGCTACGTGAACTAAAAATCAAGGTCCAACTACAGGCCGCCTTCAGAGGGCTCATTTCGGTCCCAACGACAAGCAGGGGCTGGGAGTGAAGGGGTGGACGGGAACAGTCCAAGCAAACGGTAACCAGCAGTAAGCAGGAACGGTCGTACTCATCTCAGACACCCAGACTTCAGGTCAACAGTGGTAACAAGAGACAGAGAAGGCTGATGGACGATAAAGAAGAGGTCAATCTATCAAAAAGACATAACGATTATAAATATGTATGCTCCCAACAGGGGAGCACTAAAATATATTAATACTGGCATATTTTAATAGAGAAATAGAAAACAACGCAATAACAGTAGGGAACTTCAGGACCTCTCTATGAGCAATGGTTAGAACATCCAGCTAGAAAATAAACAAGGAAACGGGGGATTTAAGGCAACTGTCGAAAAAAGAGCTAAACACACACACATAGAGGATTCCTTCCAACAGCAGCAGGACGCACGTACTTCTCAAGGGCACCTGGGACATTCTCCAGGAGAGATTATATAATAAACCATAAAACTAATCTTAACAATTTTCTCAGACCACACTGGCAAAAATTACAAACCAGCAGTAAGTGGAAAGTGAGCAGATCTTCAAACATGGAAACGCAACCACACACTTTTAAATAACCAGTGCTTCAAGGAAGAGATCCAAAGGGCAACAAAAATACACCTGGAAACGAGTGAATATGAAAATACAGCATTTCCAAGTGTGTGGGACGCAGCAAAAGCAGTTCTCAGAGGAAAGTTTATAGCAATGAGCACATAGATGAAGACATTAGAAAACTCTTAAAGGAACAACCTATCTTTATAGCTCAGGAAACAAGAAAAAGGAAAAAAAATGAGCCCAAACTTTGTAGAAGGAAGAAAATAATAAAAATCAGAGCAGAAATAAATGAAATGGAGACCAGAAAAAAACTATAGACAGGATCAACGAATCTAAAAGCTGGTTCCTGAAAAATATAAACAAAATTGGCAAATCTTTAGCTACACTATGCAAAGAGAGAGAAGACTTAAATAAATAAAATTGGAAGCAAAACAAGAGACCTTACAACTGCTATCACAAAAATATGGAGAGCTTACACAGTTCAATGCCAAAAACAACAACAACGAAACAATCCAATTAAAAAATGGGCAAAGGACCTGAATAGATACTTCTCCAAGGGGGACATACAGATGGCCAATTGACATATGAAAAGACGCTTAATGTCACTAATCACCAGAGAAATGAAAATTAAAGCCAGAATGAGAGACCACCTCGTACCTGTCAGAATGGCCATCATTAATAAATCAGCAAACAATAAGTGCTGGCGAGGATGTGGAGAAAAGGGAGCCCTCATGCACTGTTGGCGGGAATGCAGTGCAGTGCAGCCGCTGTGGAAAACAGATGGAGTGTCCTCAAAACATTCAAAATGAAACTGCTGCATAACCCAGGGTTCCCACTTCTGGGAATATACACAAAAAAAACCCTAAACAATAATTCAAAAGAATATACGTGCACCCTGTGTGCATCTCAGTGTCATTTACAGTAGCCAAAACTTGGAAGCAAGCAGCCCACATGCCCGTCAGTAGATGAGTGGATAAAAAAAGCTGTGATACATGTACACAATGTAATAATACTTGGCTGTAAAAAGAAGAAGAAAGTCTTACTTTGCAACAGCATGGGTGGACCTGAAGAGTATTATGCTAAATGAAATAAGTCAGTCAGAGAAAGACAAATACCATATGATTTCACTTCTGTGTGGAATCTAATGAGCAAAATAAACAAACAAAATGGAAACAAACTCACAGGCACTGAGAACAGATTGACAGCTGTCAGATGGGAGGGGGTTGGGGGACTGGGTGAAAAAGGTGAAGGGGGAGGGAAGGAGGAAGAGAAAGAGAATGAGAGAATTGTAAGAGTCTACTATGAACAATTTTATGCTAAACACCACATCCATCCAAACTTGTAGAAAGGGGAGAGACATAGAACAGGCTGGTCCCACATCCTAGTGTAGTTATCTAGGGAGTGAGGGGTCCCAGCCCAGGGTTCCAGTGTCAGTAAAATAAATCCTCACAACTTCTGGCTGCAAAAGAAGAGATTGAGTTGGTGTTAGAAACTTCTTAGAGCCCCAAGCAGTTCCTCTTAAAGAACCCACACACAGGCTCACCTACTCAGACTCACTCCCTCTGGGCTCCAGTGCCGGGTGGCAGCTTGAAAGGCACCAGTGGTGTGCAGGGAGGAACTGAAGTGTCTGGCATCAAGCAAGGCATCGTGACCCACGCACATAAACAATGGTGTGGGGATTGCCTGAGGGAGTGGGGGGTGCTCGGTGGGATGGAGCAAAGGGGAAAAAATTGGGACAACTATAATAGTATATTCAATAAAACATTGTAAAAAAGGTATCAGCTTGTGGCAAAGTTGGATAGAGGAATGGATGGGAGGTATTAGGAGATAAGAACAGAAGGAAGGCAAGAGTTTGTGCTGTTGAAACAGGAGTATTTCTCAAAAAAAAAAAAGTCAACTTCACAATTGCTAGGGTACAGGCAAGCACTGAACTTGTGCCCTGATAGCCATGGTCCAGATACTCAGCCCTCCCATTCATTCATTGACCCTGTATTTACTGCCTAGTAATTATCCAGCTTATGAACATTATCTCTAAACCCTAAAACTGTTTGTAAGATAGGTGTAATTTCTCTGTTTCTCACACGAGAAAACTGTGATTCAGAAATTTAAATTACGCCCTGGCTGATATAGCTCAGTGGATTGAGTGCGGGCCTGCGAACCGAAAGGTCGCTGGTTCTATTCCCAGTCAGGGTGCGTGCCTGGGCTGTGGACCAGGTCCCCAGTAGGCAACCACACATTGATGTTTCTCTCCCTCTCTTTCTCCTTCCCTTCCCCTCTCCCTAAAAATAAATAAAACCTTACAAAAAGAAATTTAAATTACGTAGTCACAATGGCCCAGCTGGTAAATAGAAAGACCAAGATTTGAACTCAAAATCTGCACTTCCTCCCTATGTTCTGCTTGCTGCCTTTTGAAGTTAGTGCCAGCATAGGGGAAAGGGTGAGGAAGACTTAGAAATCTTTTCTTATTAGGCTGGTATATTTTCATCGCTGTTGCCACGGCATCATTTCAAAAACTCAAAGTGCTGTGGAAAGCTCCGTGTTACCCCTTCCTGACTTGGTGTTGGCCTTGATAAAGAATAGGCCAGGAACCAAGAGGACTAATCTTTCATCTCTCCCCGGGAGGAAGTTTCGCTAGTGTCTTTTGTTTTGGTGCGGAAAGGAAAACGAAATGAATCTCACCGGTGAGATGCAAATGAATCTCTCAACTGTTTTGTTAATTTCTACTATTTACTCCAAAGTGGGGAAACACCAGGCCTGTGATACATCATCTTTTGTGCGCCTGGCACCTTCCCTCACGAATCCTATTAGTCTGCTCCAACTAACAAGGATTAATTGTCTCGGTAAGGCAACCTGGCGTTGAAGTGATACATGGCTCAGACAGCTGGGAGTCTGGCCACTCATGGGTCTCGTGTCCCGCTGGCTCATTTGTGTTTGTCTCTTCCTCTGACAGATGTGTACCCAATCACTGTGAGCACGGCGGGAAGTGCTCCCAGACGTGGGACAGCTTCAAGTGCACTTGCGATGAGACGGGGTACAGCGGGGCCACCTGCCACAACCGTGAGTGCCAGCGCGTCCCCCTGTGAACCTGTAATTGCATGACGTCCCCGGGTCCTCAGCCGCGCTTTACAACTCAGCAGCCCGCCCCGTCCACGCACTGAATCACTCGATCCCGGGGAGCACGGATGCGCGGTGGTTTCTCCAGGACCGCGTTCCAGTTGTCAAAAAATCGATTCTTTCACGCCCGGTGACTCAAAAAACAAAGCTGGGCGGGGGGGGGGGGGGTCATTTCCAGCATTCGGTGAACGGGCAGTGGAAATTGGAATGCTGATCTTGGGGTCGAATCAGTGTGTCCGTCTGGGTAGGTTGGGAAGCGACGTGAGTGTGACGTCTGTCACGGGATGCCCACGCGTCAGCCCCTCAGAGAGAGCGGCAGGCAGGGCGGCCTCTGAACTACTGGCTTCTGGGAAGTCGTCTCATTCTCTGTCGCAACGACTGGGCTGCTTTTTTTTTTTTTTGGTCAGAACAAGATGAGCTAGCAAGGAGAAGGAAGTCCATTGAAGTGGTATATCTGAAATAAAGGAAGACCAATTTTTTTTAAATATTAAAAATGAAAAGTAATAGGCAAGGATGACTAGTACAACACACAAGGGCCTCGTTTTGTGCGATAGCTTTACCCTGAAAAGGTCAGTCCACTCAATGTCTTGTTGACCCACAACACTGTTGATTCAAAGAGCATTTTTAAAGGAATGCTAAGTCTGTAATGGTAATGTTAACTTTCCAAAAACGCAACGCTGGTCACAAAGCACTTTGGAAAACGGATTTGCCGGAAAATGTACAGTGGGGAACAAGTTCATCTGTGCTCTGTGTGTGCGTGGGGAGGGAGCAGGGGGAGAGAAAGAGTCTCCTTCTGTCTTTTCTCAGTATCCCGAAAACCTGGAGATCTAACACCTAAACCCTCCAGTTATGCGAACTGCCTTCTCTTCCCTTTTAAGAAACGAAGACAAGCAAATACCATCAGAACAGGGTTCTGGGGAGAGTAAAAATGCAGTGTCCTTCTCTGAGCCCTTTCTACCCTTGTTTGTAGTCATGTTCGGTCAGAAACTGTGCTTGGAAATATGGGGAGACCTTCACTAAGAAAAAATATCTGTGATTTATTTTATTGCGCCTCTTTGTGTTTTTTGGAAGACATTTTAAAACATAAGGACTAGAAGGAGACAAAAAGGACTAAAAAGTTAACAATAATAGAAAGACATACAGAAGAATCAAAATGGATAGACACTTAGTAATTCATCAACAATAAAGTATATACGTATGTGTGAATGTGAGAAAGCATTTTAATGAATAAAGAGCAACACTGACATTGAAATTAATTAGAACAAAGGAGTTATAACTAAAATTGCCTTTCCAATCATATCAAATGTTAACTTTCAGCATATAATATGCATTATATGGTAACTTTGAATTAGGTAATTTGTATAAAACTAAGTACTTTTACTTCACCAGTGTAATTTACATAGTATTGTCTATAAATACCACCTCTAACTGTAAGGGACTTTGTTTCTGAATGTGGAAATTCTGAGGACAAGCAGTGAGAAATCAGTGGTCCTTATAAGGGTTTCCTATCTCAGTGACCACTTTGATATTGAATTAAAAGGCAAGTAACTATTTTTATAGCTGCTGAACTCCACAGCAAAAAAATAATTTTAATATCTAACATTCTTAAAAATTTAAATATGCTACTGGTTGAATAGTTGGGTGGTTGTTTTTTTTTTTTAAATAGTAATCGCTCCAAGTATTAGGAACATACTGAGTATGCATTTAGGTTGGTCTCTAGTTCAAGCTCTAAATACAAAAGAGGAAGATTATCTCCTCCTTGCTGTCTATTCCCACTCACTCCGTGCCCCCTTTTTGCATCCATAACAGTAGAACCTTCCATTGTAACAATGGGACCCTGAGCCCTTGTCCTCTCTGAAGGAGGCCAAAACCGTGAGCACCCAGCGTGTGCCTCAGTAGGGCTTCAAAGACCATAGCACCCAAGTCGAGAAAGAGTCAATCGGACACTATTTTGTTGTGGGAAAAAAAAAGTGTAGTTTATCAAAGGGTAAGTGCTTCCTAAGAAACTGAAAGATTTTTTTGTATCTGTTAGCTACTTCCACAGATTAGTTAAAAGTTGGGAGTGTCTGGCCCAGCTCATAACAATGTAAAAATATATACTCTACGCCCTTCAGGTTGATGCAGGATGAACAATTTTGCATTTTTCTCTTGGTCGGTGGCTGCGTGCATAGCAAGAGCATTGAAGTGGAAAGACACCGCTCCGTGCTCGCCGTGAGATAATCATGCGGGTGCCCTTCCTGCAAGTCCCTGACTTCTTCTGGACCTGCCTTCCTCCCTCTGTGGCCTTCATGTGACTGAGGTCTCTTGCAGTCCTAAGAGCCGATGAGCCTTCCTTCTAGTGGCTTATGCTGCCTTCTGGGGTTGTGAAGTTTGTTAGTAGCATGAAATAGTTTACCCCATTTTCTGCAGAGGACTGAGCATGCCTTTTGAAAAGAAGTTGGCAAGGTAAAGAATGGCTAGGTCAAGTCTACAGTTGAGTGTAACTAAATATGTAGCAGAGCTTCAAACATGACAATTAGGCCACTATTTCAGCACATTTTCCACACTGGTCCAGGCTCGGTCGGGATGAGACAGCTGTTTCTCAGTGAGCCGTGGTCATCCAGGCTAGAGGTTGGCATCCAGGGTGGAACCTAGAAGCTCCTTCTAGATAGGTCACACTGCCTGAGTTTGAACTTGGCTGTACCACTTACCTGTCGTACCCATAACCTTGAGTCCTTAAACTCTTTGAGCTTCAGCTATCACCTGGTGAGACGGGTATAGTAACAGCATCCTCATAAACCCGCAGGGCGATTAAATGAGATAATTTATGGAGACTCGGCGGTGAGCTCAGCATATGTCAGTCTCAATACATTTTTGCCATTTCGTTCCTTTCAGAACAATCATCCCTTCGCTCTGAGCTCCTGTGCCGATAATTGTCCATATCACACTGTTTGTCATCTAATTTCGTGCTGCCAGTCATTGTGTGCTGTCATTTCCATGGCAGATTTGGGCTTGAAGTGAGTGAGTGATGCCCCTAGTTGTGTTCATTCCCAGAAGAGTTGAAGAGAATTAAAAGTGATCTGTGTGAGTCCTAGAGACCTCTATCCGTTTGTTTGTTTGTTTGTTTATGCACAGAGAGTTTGTTTTCAAACACAGTCTACGCAGGGCTCAGGGGACCGGTATTTACAAACCCCTCAGGATGCTGTCCTTCCGGTGAGGAAATCCCCCAGGGAAAGCCAAAGGTCCCGGGGGGGTGGTCAGATGCCAGGGAAGGGAAAGCTGGCTGTCCTGGTCCAAAAACTGAAAGAAGCTAGTTTGCGACAAAAGGTAAATACATTACACTGTTGCAGTTTGATGCTTTTAAGTTTTTCTTAGGCAGACCGTTCTGTTCTGAGTGAATTTCTCAGAACTGACTAGTGGTCTTATCAGAACATAAAGTCACATTTGGAGCAGGGTCACGCTGAGTAGTTTATTTGTTTTGCTATGCTGGCTCCACCAGACCTCACTCTGCGGAAAGTGAAACAGTGCGTCTTTCTGGTGAGCAGACCTCCCCTTGCATAGCAGCTCTCTGTCTTTCGCTGCTGTTGAGACGCTGCAGCTGGTCGCCCAGCTTACCTCCCGGTACTTTCAAGGCCGTTTCAGGACCTCCTACCATCTCATTTTTTTTCATACGTGTTCCTTGCACTTCATACTTACCATTCTAATTTGTATACATTTGAAAAACTCTCCCTAATCTCAAGGCTTGGTGGATGTTTTTTCTCCTGCTGCTGGGGCCTGTCTTTGACCTTCTTCATCCTTCCGTATAATACTAATCCCATATGTGGAACTGCCCTAAATGTCCCCAGAATGCCCCCCATAATACCCAAACTTTTGGCTCTTTACACAAGGGCAGGAGGATATTTGATCGATACAATCGATGTTTAGGGGGCAGAACTTCAGAAGAACTTTTAAGTGCCAGGTCTTCATTCCAAGAAAAAAGTTTTCCCAAGTGTCCTGTTACTAAAGGAGAGATTCTCGCCTCGCCCAGATGTGTAAACACGCCTCTTTTGAGTGGCAGTCGGAGCAACTCAACCACCTACACGGATCTCTTCCCACTTCTAAATCACGTGGTTTCTGAACTCTGAAACCCTGAAAAGGAGCAGCAGGTCCTGGTGTTGCCACACAAACGTAAAACTAAAATTTTTCTAGCCATGTTAGAGGACAAATTGCCATTTAAGAGGAAACTATTCTACATGCGGTAGCCTGGACCTATTATTACTCTGGCTGCATAAGTTTGGAAACCATAAATGGCACTGTGCCTTACTTATTCCTGCGCACAGGAGAGTGGGTGTCAGGAGCCCCCCTCCCCGTGTAGTTTATAATGCATTGTCCTCGTAAGTAGTTTGATTCAGAGCATAATTTTAACCAGAAATGAATCCTCCCTGTTTGCCGTCACACCAACCCAGGGCACCAACGCCTGGATTTATCGTCACGAGGGCGTGCGCTGCCTCTGCCCAGGTGGGGCCGCCACGGACTCAGGCGTCGATGAAGATAACTCGGAATTTGAGTGCTGCTGCCCGCCCCTTCCCTCCCCCAAATGCGGTCATTGAATAGAATCGTGTCCTTAGGGAACTGGACTCCATTGTTCAGCTGTAAATTCAACGGGCCTCTAAGGCCCCACTTGGTGTGGCTGTGTCTTTAACCTGGCCTTCTCACGTATGTTTCTCCCTTTTGTCGCCTCTCCCCCTGCCCCGCCCCCGTCCTGTTGGCCTTCTTCAGGGGCCCACAGGGGCCCTGAGCCCTTGTGCTGCTCCCTCTCCCTGCCCCGGCCATCACCCCAGGACTCTTGCCCGTCCCCCCTTGCTGCTCTGCCTGCTGTGTTCCTACGCACCCCACCGCTCAGCAGCCCCCTCTCCACAATGCCGTGATGAGGTCAAGTCCTCTTGCTCTAAGATAGGTTTCTTCCTCTTCACCCTAGAGATGGT